TTAAAAATTTTTTAAAATTTTTTTATTTAATTTTTTTTTTTTTTTTTTAAATGGGAAAAAAAAAAAAAAAAAAAAAAAAAACATAAAAACATGCAGCATAAAAATGCTTGTTGCATTTATTTTAAACGGATGATTTAAGGTACCAATAATTGTCGTCAGCGATTTTAATTTATTTATTTATTTTTTAAATATGTGTGATCCCAGAAATCTAATACATTTCAAATGTCCTGATCACCAAAGGGGAGGAGGGGTCACTGAATAAATCTGAAAGGACAAAAGATGGCTGAAGGCATGGGAACATCTGCTACGTTTCATTTTTCCAGCTATGCTGCCAGCAGCTTCGCACTGTGAACACTGTTGGTCAGTGGTCATTTGTTAATATCAGGAAGTGTGGTCATGCAGGTTGACGCCCCTCATCTTTACCGGGTTCTGTTTAAGGTTGGAGAAATGGTTCACTGAATAAATCAGTGATGCATTAAACACAAAAAAGGGATTCTGAAGCCTCGTGTTCATCGTCCTCCTGGTCGAAGGTAGAATTAGGCGTATTAATTCAGAACGCGGCGCACGGTGCTGTGTAGTTAACACACATCTTAAATGAGGCCAGTTTATAAAGTCTGTCCTACAAGACTAATGATGTGTGTGTGTGTGCTGGCAGCGCGGGGCCGTGTCCCCCGGGTCCTGTAACATGATTAGTCCAGAAGCAGTTTGACATGAGTGACTAAAGTACAGCAACCCACTGTGATTTTAGTGCCTCAGCCTCCAATGCAAGGTCAACGAGCTTCGGTTTTCAGTGAATTAATTTCAGTTGACAGCATTTAACGTTTCCCGCACAGTTTGGGGTCTCTGTAATGGTGTCATCCTGTTTCTGCTCCCTACCTCCTCCAGACATCAGCGCTTCCTTGGCGAGATCCATTTGAAGCTGATGTAAAGATACCAGAAAGGTGTTCACGCCAGCTCTGTGGGACTCCATTTGACTTCATACTTGCTGCTTTTAGTAAATGCTCTGATGTGCAGGGTTGGAGTTGCAAGATGTAGTCTGCAATAAGTTGATCTTCAATACAGTTTTGTACCCGCTGCTACTGCTGGTAAAATTCTTATCCTGTTGCTTTGATCGTGATGTTTATGCTGGTAGAGCTGAAGAGGAGGAAGGCACTACAGAGCTCTAAGGGGAGTAAACGAAACCCTAGCAGTTAAGAATTCAATTAGTTTTGATTAACAAACTGATCGGGAAAACTCAGAGTAGTGAGTCTTTTTGTCAACAGCAGAACACCAGAGGCACAGGCGGTCATGTAGTTACTCTTGCTGCCACAAGAGGAAGACACAATCTACGCAGGGGACACTAACAAGTTTAATTTGACTAGATGTCTCAGAACATACTAAATTATTTTAAATGGTGTGGACCTCAAGCCGCTATGATGTATAATTTACACATTTCATCTTTTTATGAATTGAAAATGATCTCTTTCTATTTACAAATATACCAGTTTTTGATATTTATAACTGCACTTTTTACATCTATTAATTTATTTTCTATCTTCCTGTCTGTATTTTCATCGTTTATTTTTAGTTTATTTCCTCTCATCCTCATTTCTCCTCAACATTTACTATGTATTTTATAGTTTGCTCTACTTACATTTATATTTTAACATTTTTGTGTTTCATCTACTTTTATTGAAATTTCTCTGTATATTTTCATTTAATTATGCTCTATTTTTATTTCTACATATGCTTTTTTTTCCTGCTTTGTCTTTAACATGTATATATATTTTTTCCATTTCTTGTATAACATTCATTTGATGTAATAAATACATACATTTCATCTTTATGTGTTTTGGTACATAGGTGTGGACTGTTGCAAGTTGGAGACAGAGTGTTGTCCATCAATGGGATCCCGACTGAAGATGGCACTCTGGAAGAAGCTCATCAGCTGCTCAGAGACTCTGCTCTGGCAAACAAAGTTACAGTGGAGGTTGAATTTGATGTTGCAGGTATCGCCTACTGAAAAATGTTCACGATAAAACCTAAAGTCTGGTTAAGCTTCACCTTTCTGTTTTTTTTTTTTTTTTTTTCCCTGTTTGAATCCAAATTAGAGTCTGTTGTTCCAAGCAGTGGCACTTTCCACGTCAAACTACCGAAGCGCAGAGGAGTGGAGCTGGGCATCACCATCAGCGGTAGGTCTGAGGGACTGTCAGCAAGGGGCAGTGTTGCTCAAACACACATCATCACTTTCAAGTTGTGGAGTCTGAGTTCCCTGATCCATAAAACTGAGACTTGTGAAAACATGGAGGCACATAGCTCATTACCTCTGAATAATGCTGGTCTGTACCAGTGTCCTTCATTAGGACACTGGTCAAAAACAAAAAAACAAAAGGGAAAGCCAAGTTGTCATAGAAAGGGATGCAAAATGATTGATTTTTCAGAATCTTGTCTGTTCTTTTGTGCTGCTACATGAAATAAAAACATTTTTTCCCCACTTTTACCAGCAAGTAAGAAACCTGGCAAGCCCCTCATCATCTCGGACATCAGGAAAGGAAGCATAGCACACAGGTGGGTTCCATCATACATATATGTACATTTCCCCACAGTTGGATGCTGCGGGTCACATCAGAGACGACGTTGATCAAGGTTTACACTGACTCGCTCATGGACCAGATAAGATATGTCTGCGGTGTAACGGAGGGCTAATAGGATTGAGCCATCATAACTAGATCAGTAGGGCAGCTACATTTCAGTCGGGGTCGATTAGGTTTAGGGTGAGGTTACGGTCACCCCCACAGATCCCACTGAGGCTAAGAGGATTCTGCTGATGCTGCCTCTGGTCCAGGTTAATGGTTGTGATCATCTCGCTCTTGGTTGTGTCTGCTAGAACAGGCACTCTGGAGCCCGGGGACCGGTTGCTGGCCATCGACTCTATTCGCCTGGAGAACTGCACCATGGAGGACGCCATGCATGTCCTGCAGCAGGCCGAAGACATGGTCAAACTGCGGATCCAGAAGGACGAGGACAACATTGGTACAAGGGTCCCGCTCATAAAATATTAATGTTCAAAGTAAACAAAAAGAGCATTCCTCCAGTTCGTGATACAAGATCTATGGCTGTGCAAAACATCTTGAGTTCATATTTCTACACTCAGTGTAGAGCAACTTGCTGCCTTTAAAAAGCCCTATTTGGACTAAATGTTGGTGCAAGGGGCTGTACAGTTAAATAGGATCAATAATGTATAGTTTAAAACCAATCACTTAGTTGATTCTACATAACTATGCAATGTAGTGTATGATTGTGAAATGTATAAATGAATGAGCTGCATTTGTATTCAGCTCCCCTGCAACATTAATGTGATGCCTAAACCTCAATGCAACAAACGTACTTCAGAAATAACTTGATCAGAAAATATTCCACCCATGTGAAATTAAATCTTTAGTATAACACAATTGTTTTATGAAGGACTTTGTCACAGAGCTCAAGGAACAGAAGCAGATAGGTTGGGGATAAAGTCAGAAAACCATTGGCTTTTACAGTACCCTGTTTAAACACAGAGCACTGTTTAAGCCAACCCAAAAAAGTGAAATAGACTGCTACAACTGCAAATTTACAAAGACACGGTCATCATCAGGGGAAGCAGCTGACAGGACCATGGTAGTTTTGGAGGAGATGCACTGCCCAGTTGGGAATAATCTGTCAATAGGATAACTTTCAGTTTTGTCGTCCACAAATCAGACTTTGATGGAAGAAAATTGTTGTTGAAAAGATGACTCCTTTTCTGGCCTTCACGCAAAACCCCACATTTAAAAAACCAAAACTCATCGTCCTGAAAACATCATCCCCTTGTTGATATGAGGTGATGACGGTATCATGCTGTGGGACTGCCTTCTTCAGCAGATGAAAGATGTTCAAAGCTTATGTGAAAATGTTGGCAAAGGTGGATTGATTTTGTAATAAACGTTTAGACTTGTATCTTCCCCCCCAAAAAAATCAGTTATGATCTTTGTGCTGCTCTCTCACATAAAATCCCAACTAAAGACCCAATGGGGCTAAATGTGAAACTGCTCAAGGGGAATGAACACTTGGGCAAAGTACCGTATAATCGAGGTGTCAAGCTTTTCTGAGCTCCCACCTTTGGTCTCGGCACACTTTAAAGTATTTGGTGTAAAGGATTATATTCAGGCTATTAAGGTTTACAAGCCTTGTTTGATAAGGATCCGTAAGCCAGCAATCGAGCTCTAACTGAGGTGCGTCTGTGTTTTATTGCACATTTTATGTGCCTGGGGGTATTGTGTGCTTTTTGCTGTAGATGAGCTGGAGATGTCAGGCTCCATAATCTACACAGTTGAGCTGAAGAGGTTTAACGGACCCCTGGGCATCACGATATCTGGCACAGAGGAACCTTTCGACCCCATCGTCATTTCTGGCCTTACCAAGAAAGGTCTGGCAGAAAGGTGAGCAAAGAGCAGGTTTAAGAACATGTGAAGCTTGTTTGCTGATGTTTTTTTTTTGATAAATGAGATGCTTGAACAATAGCTGGCTGGTTTCTTTCAACAACAAGAAGCCTCTTTGTTTCTGTCTGTGTCCGATCGCTGGCAGTCTGACAGGATTCTCCAACCGGCTCTGTTGTCGCTGGCTGGTATAATCTGGTAACTCTTTCTCCTCTGCCTTCCTGTCCCTGCAGAACCGGGGCCATCCACATAGGAGATCGAGTTCTGGCCATCAACGGGGTCAGCCTTAAAGGGAAGCCTCTGAGCGAGGCCATTCATCTGCTGCAGACGGCCGGGGAGTCCGTCACCCTCAAAATCAAAAAACAAGCTGACCGTATAGATCTCCTTTTTTGAATTATTTGCTTTTCAGATGGAAACCGTTAAATTTTCAAATGACTAAGATGAAAAGTAATGTAAAAGGATTTAAAACAAAAAATAACTTGATTTGTGGAAAATTAAGACGCATCTTGGAATATAAATCGCTTTGATTCTGCGTTTATGGAGGCCTATTTGGCATCTCTCAGGTTTCTGCTTGTGTTGAAACCTGAGAGATGTGCTTCCATTTTTCAAAAATCTATTTCCAAAGTTAACTCACGTTTTCAAAAATGACCCAACGCTCCAAGATGTTTGGAAACAAACATGAATGGAAACAAAAGCAAACAAAACTGTTTAAAATTAGGAAGTTCAAAAGAATTAAAAAGAAGAAAATTATCTTCCCCCAAGTAACTGCTCTGCTTTTTATTCCCAGAGTCTGACTGTCGGCGTTCGGTGGACAAAGAAGGCGGCTTTCTGAGCGATCCAGAGGATGAACTAACAGGCTCCCAAAAAACCAGCAAATTCTCAGAGGTCTACTCGGCCAATGTTCCCAGCATAGACTCGGCCATGAGCTCCTGGGACAGTGCGGCGTTTGATGCAGGCTACATTAGCCAAGGTGGGTGCGAGGACAGGACAGTGGAAAAATATTTACCCCAATATTAAATTCTTCTGCTTTTATTATTCTAGGACGCACACACATTTCTAGTCATCAAAGGAATTTCAATGTCAGAGTAATCTGAATAAAACCAAAAAACAGCAGTCAAAGAGGTCTTCAATCATTTATTATTGAATCATAAATTGTGATTATTTCTTTTATTTTAGGCATTAATTTCATCAGTCACAACCAGGCCTGATCACCTCTAGACATGTGGAATCGGCAAATTACTTGAACAGATTCTGCCTGGCAACATGAAGCAGATTAAAAGATTTTGTTTGTTGTTGTCTCAGATTTGTTTGATCTGAGACATTTAATTTATTTGCACAAAAGAGCAAAAATATAAAATGTCTGTAAGAACAAGGCGGGGGGGGGGAATCTAATTTTCTTTCAGGACTATATCTGCACAAAACATCTGATTTACTCCTAAATCCACTTGACTGGAGGCGCCCGAAGCACAGAAGCCACACGCCCTCCGGCTCTGGAGGTTTGGGACTGCAAGCAGGGCTGTACGATGGAGGATTCACTGAGGATGAGTGGGACAAGATACCTGGGTGAGTCCGGAGGGCTGAGGTTATGTTTCCAAGCAACTGAGAAGAAATGTCCTGTTCAACAACAATGTTCCAATTATATTTATTCATTCATTTGCTCTTTATAAAAGCATTTCAGGTTTGTTCTTGTTGATGTCATTCATGGCTGCTAACACTGAATTGTAGCAGTGAAATGAGAAGGCTAAATATTGCTAAGCTTTCATAACTGGACTGCAAACTACGAATAAATATTTGTAAATCAAAAAATGCACTGAATGCTGTACCACAGTTTGAAAAATGTGGACATTAGCAATGGGTTGTATGATATTTAAGTGACAATAGTATGTTGGCTCCATCTGCAGTAACTGAGAGCAAGTTTATACCTTTAGGTTAGAGTTATCACAATATCATAAGATGCACTGATATTGCTGGGTTGAATCAAATCAAATAAATATATTGCGTGTTGCGCTGGCAATCTGTAGGAATCTTAAAGTTCTCTCATTGTCAACATCTGTGTCAACGTATCTTTAGGTGGTGAATTTCATGTTTTGTTTTTTTTATATATATATTTTCCTTTTGTTTAAAAGATACAGTTCTGGTCAGATCAGAAAAACCTGGAAATTTAATGCAAAGTTTTCAGTTCTTCCAGAAATAAACATACACTATTTCATCTATTTGTAAGAAAAAATGCTCACTACTACAACCATTAAAAAAACAATTTCAAATTTGTTTTTGTGCAACTGAACTCTTTATGCTTTCTCCCAGATTTTAATAGTCTACACAGGTTTTGAATTAAATTTGGTTCAGCTGGTAGTCGTGCGGTGGTGAAGTTGTCTGAGTAATGCTTCCTCTTATCTCATTTATCTCTCTTCATTCAGGGAGGGTGTTTGATTCCAAGTTGTCTACTTATTTGCATATTAGTGCATCTTCTGGATATCACACGAGACTTGAGTGGCGAGTGACATTTTTGTCTAATGATTTCAAAATAAAGGTTTGAAATGAGCCGAAGTAAATGGCCAGTTGCGCAAATTAAATTTGACATGGAAAAAAAACCCTGTTATTAAATGGTTGTAATGGTGAACATAAACTGACATGTGCTCTAAATCTTTACAATCAGATGCAAGACACCAATTGAAATCATGACTTTAAATTGCTTGTAGCTTTGATGGTGGAACAGAGAACGGTAACTCTGATCAGAGCCGTATTCTTAGTCTGAACATGTTGCTGTTCTTTTTGTTGAGAAATCTCTCTGCACCTGTTTTATCATGTTGTGTGCATACATGTTGTGTGCTTTTCCAATCTGTCATTTTTTTTTTCTTCTTTCTCAGGTATTCTATCTCTGATCTGCTTTATTAACTGTTCGCAAGCTCTCTGGTGTCACAATCAGATGCCCTGTCATCCCTTTTCCACACAAAATGCAAAAACATTTTCCTCTGAAAGCAACTAAAAGACTTAAGGATACATCTGCCTCATGTCTCCTCAAGCTTGACCCTTTTGAACTTGTTGCGTTTCTTTCTTGCTTTTTTTCTAAATCTAGTCGGACTCCTTTCAGTCCCTTCCTGAGCCAATTTACAGTTAAAAAAAAAAAAAAAAAAAAAATCAACTTTTTTGTTTTTTTTTTATTGTTTGGGGCTCTCCAGTGCAGCAGCCAAAAGAAACTACATTTCCCATGCTGCTTTTCTATGCAGCAGTCCCCTCCAGACTTTGCAGGGTTGCTCTTATGTTATGGTTCCTGCACTGTCATAGATTCGTCAGCCCCCCTTCCTGCCATGGCACGTTGAACAAAGACGACAGCTTCTGGTCCCAGGCTCTCCAGGACCTCGAGACCTGTGGTCAGTCTGGGATTCTCAGGGAACTGGAAGTAGGTGGCCTCCATCTGCTTTGTCCTTCTGATTCCTCGGGCTTATCCCAGCTTTAATGAACATGCCTGATGAAGCATTATGATAACCATCAGTGAGTAATCTCTTATTAAATCTGACAAGACAAGTCGGGCACCTGCTGCCAGATTGACCAAGGAAAGGTTTTACACAACGCCTCAGCTGCTAATCTGCATACTAGGCTACATTAGAAAATGCATGCATGCTTCCTTTATTTTTTTGTTTTGTTTTTTGGTTTACTACATCGTATTGAAATAATTCCTGCCCATGTCGACTCTTCCAGGCCTCTATGACAGGCAGCACACTCAGTCTGTACCTGGAGGAGACCAAGACCAGTGAAGACTCAGTGTTGCGCTCTGAGATTAGTCCAACAAAGACGGAAGGAATCCACGGCAGGTCTAAAAACAAAAGCCTGAACATGGCAGGAGCCAGAGATGGATCATCCAGGGCCAAAGGGGACCCCTCTGATATTCTGTCCCCTTCATCCCTGGCACTGCAGAAGGTGAATTGAGGATGTGTGCCTCATCCACAGTTGAAGAAAAAGGCTTAATGGATGTTTACTTCTATGGAAAGGCTTCATAAGATGCGTGATAATACTGGAAATGTATCATATAGCGCACTAACCCGACTAATTTTACCAGCAGAATTTAAAACGATTTTAACAGAGTAACTATTGCCAGCATTGGACATTACAATAAATATAATTTAAAAAAAAAATCAGTTTATATGAATATTTAACAAGTACCCTGTACATTTGATTTTCTGCATTATGAACCATGTCAAGTTCTGAATCCAAACATACTATGACCCAAGTCCCTCATGCCTTGAGGCCTAATATAAATAACTCATACCAGCACAGATGCTGGCTATAGAACATCACGTCTGCCTCGTTTTTACACATTTTTCCAAACAGAAAACGGGGGAAGGGGCATGCAAACATGTTTCTGAGACTCTGCGCTGTGCACATGTTTTTTGAGCCCACTTGCTGATTTCCACACAACCAAATACGTTTTCAGCGTAGTGCCGTCTCAGACCCACTCGTGTCTCCTTTACTTCTTTTACAGTAACTGAACTATGTGAATTGCTGCCCTGTCTCCTCCCAATGAAAGGACAGCGGGATCATCAGAATCAACAAATTATAGAAGCAAAGAAAACAGACTGGTATCACAAGAGAAGAGTCGTGATTGTTAAAACGTGTTCCATGATTTGGTTTGAGACATTGCTAGGAAGGAAAAATATGAAACGGGAAGCAACCGTACAACTAAATAAAGAAAAATGTGCTCAGATCAGATATGAAACGGTGTTCAACATCGCCGCGCAAAATTTACAAGATGTACGACAGGAAATGTTACACCGGGCAACGGCTCACACACAATGTTCACATTATTTAAAAAAAAAATCGAACTGCTTTTAATACAGTAAAAAATTAATTTGCAGCTTCACCTGAAACTGCACACAATGTACTAGCAGTTATCTCTGACACACCTGTTGCCGCCTGCCTTAGGTTATGTTTGGCTGGCAATAAAGAAACACATGACTGTCCTCCACAGAGTAATAATCTTATTTGGAGTTGATACAACTTTTCTCATGTCATGGAAAGTTATCTGAACAACATCTTTATAGCTGCTGTTTGATTGTGGATGAATCCGCTGTTCTTCCAAAACGAAACGCATAATTCGGAGGCATAAAGCCGTGGTTGCTCCAGCTGGTTTAGTGTTTCCACATTGGCTAACGGAAACAAAGTGTTGCTGTCGGCAAGGAGTTGCCATTTAGCCCAGTGTCCAGTGACCGGCAGTACACGGTCAAATTTGTTAAATTTAAACATTCCATACGGCTTCATATGCACGTGTGCAACTGTAATTGTTTCTTGTTTGCAGGTCTCTCTAAGGAAGGATCTTGAGAGCCACGACTTTGGTTTCAGTGTATCAGATGGGCTCTTGGAAAAAGGAGTTTATGTCAACATGATTAGGCCGGACGGCCCCGCTGAACAAGCTGGTCTGAAACCTTATGACCGGATACTTCAGGTACTGTTTCTCTTTGAACAGGTTAAAACTATATGAGGGGGGGGCAAGAAAGCTGAAATAACTTGTTGCAGAGCTCATTGGAATAATCGGTATGCTCTGTCGACATACTTACTTAAATAATGTTGCTTTTAAATGTAAACCCTGCCCCATTAAAATACCATCTTTTTAGCAAAACTTGAGATTTTGATAATTTCACCTCTTTTCCCTCATGAACATTCATGCAGTCTATACAGCTTGACTGAAAAAAACAACAAAAAAAACGCCAAAAACAACCTGATTGTGTGTGTGCACTTTAAACTATACTGAGATACAGTTTCACTTTCTTTCAGCAATCTATCATCTTCAGTAATATGCCTGTCGGCATGGCACATATTAACTCGGCACTATTTACTGTTTGTATCTCCGTCAACAAACCCTGTCTCACATAAAGCAGAGGTTCTCAATTCTGGACTTTAGGGACCATTAGCCCACATGTTTTTGTTTGCTTCTGCCACAAGCTGCCTTAGTGTTTTGCATATATATTTTTAATCCATAATCAAATCGACAACAAATTGAAAAAGTCAAAGTCCTGATGTGAAACTCTGTTTTGCACTCTGGAAATGTGCCACTAGTTTAAAAAGGTTTGAGAAGCACTGCGCTGCGCTTTAAATCCCAAAGAAACGACTTACAAGAAAAACTTCACTTCAGTTTTAATGGGTTAAACAAATGCAAAGTTGAATGTTAATTGGTGGCTGTGGTCTTCCAGGTGAACCGCGTGAGGACCAGGGACTTGGACTGTTGTCTCACTGTGCCTCTAATTATGGAGGCCGGAGACTGCCTGGATCTGGTCATTAGCAGGAATCCACTGGCAGCCGTTTACGCGGAGCTGCCCAACAACTGTGACGACCCCTCGAGCTCGCTTCTCTGCTTCGCCAACTACAGGACCAACAGCATCGCCCTGTGAACACGGGGGGGATGAAAGTGGAACACTGCAGCGCTGGGACCTCACACATGCAACACACGTGGTTCAGTTTGTCGCATTGTAGCTCTCTGATGGACCTTTACGCTCGTGTTCTGCACACAGGAACAACCACAGTCTGCCTCAGAGCATCTCTCTCTCACTCAACATTACACGACTGTTGCTTTTGGTCACTGCTGTGTTCAGATGATTTAGTTCTTTGGAGACTGAGGCTTCAGAACAGAGTCCCCTATCACTCCGTCCCTCCTGTTCTCCCCCGCCCCCCTCCTCCTCGCCAGAGGCACAGCCACATGGAGGGTTATATAACCGAAGAGTCATTGCTTCTGACGGGGGCCAGGACGTCAACGCACATGTCTTCACTCTGCAGGATCGCATGATGTGCACACTCGCAGCTAAAGATCTAATATGTTTTAACGTTCTTGTTGCCACTGGTTTTATTTTTCCACACGGAATGCATTGGTTTATATGCATGGAAAGCACTAACGTAGAGACACCAGGCGTTGGTGAGATCAAGGAACATTGCACTTATTTGAGTTATTTCAGCCATGAGTTGGCTCACTGCCTTGGTTTTCTGGCCTCTGCCCAGCACTGGCTGCCCTAAAAAGCGGATGAGCCCTTGAATAGTCCTGAGCACTCCCTGACACCTGCCAACAACTTTATATTTTAATTCCACAAAAACACTTGAGGTCAATTGAACCTGTTTATGACACTTGAATTATGATTATGCTCTGAATTGTTCCAGAGGGATGTTTGTGTGCACAAATGATTTCTTTTAATGTCCACTTTTTTTTTTCAGTATTTGCTTCTGTCACACATTTACAAAGATGTGGGTCATGTTCATTTTGCACATGTTCAAACACTGTTTACTTTTTTTTTTAAGAGCTCAAATTCAATTTTCACAACTTTTCTGGACATTCTGCTCTTTCTAACATGAAACGCTAAGGATGCAAGCTGTATGCAAATCCTTATTTTCTATGTTCTTACAGGGAACTTTGTGAGAGTGCACTTTTTTAGTTTAAAAGTAGGATGTGGTAATTCATTCTTTTTGTAATAAAATGAACGCACTGATCTGAAAGATTACGTTAAGTTATGTGGTGGCTGGTGTGAATATGTTGGTGTCCCATTTGTAACAGCCTCAGAGGCAAATTTATAGTTGGGTGAGCTTGTTTCAGACTTCTCATGCAATGTCATTCAATGTCGAGGCCCGTTTTAAAGGTCTTCTCTTAGTATTACAATGTTTTTGTAAAATGCATTATGATGTGCAGTGTCTTTTTTTTTTTAGTAAAGGCATATAATGTTTCAGGATCTTTGTGCAAGCTAACCTGAATGTGTTTCTGTACTTTTAGTTTTTTTTAATTCCAAATCTTCTGTGAATTTGTATGTTTTGGTCAAAATGACCACTAATATTGGATTTTAACTTAGCAAGCAGTCCAGTTTTTTTTATTTTATTTATTGTAATAAAGTTACAAAACTGTAATATAAGTGTCCAACTTTTAGAACGTGTACTCTGTGACCCATTTTTTTTGCAGAGCTGAAACGAGTCAGTTTTTCTTAGCCAAAAATGAATGTAATGATCTTTATTCATGATTCAGTTATGTTTACCTATATGGAAACGGTTAAAATATCCTTCAGTTGGCCAATTACAAGACAACTGTATTGGATTTATAACAAATGTAACCCAGTTAAAACCAAATTAATATATTCTAATCACAGTTGGATTCAGATTAAATTGAAATCATCCAGTAATGAGTCTAAGACCAGTTACCAAATCCTTATTTCACTTGTATATTTCAGCCACATATCTCAGATTAAGTAATAAATACAGACTTGAAACTAAAATGATTGGTTTATAGCTTTTACAACTGAATTCAGTTGTAAATGTGGTGAAATTTAAACATAAAAGCTTTAACCTTGGTGAAAGGAACTTTAAATTTGTTCTTGTACTGCTATTTTGGGGCAAGATGAGGCATATGCAGGACGACTCCAATACATGATTCATGTTCACAGTAAATTTGAACAGGAGTGATTTATTTGCCTAGCAGCACAACTCTCTTTATTTTTGAAGAAACCATTTGAGACTAATTTAATGAAGGTGAACATACCCATAAACCTTTCTGTGTCTTGATGGGAACCCTGTGCTTTGGTGGTGGTTTTGATATTTGGAGACTGATGTACCGTCTGAGATGGATTCAGAAACGTATGCTACTTGTTTGTTCACCCTCATTAACTCCATTCAAGTACTGATATCGAGATTTTGTTTTAAAGCAGAAAAGGAGGAAGCAAACCACTTGCCTTTTCTGCTTTAAAACGGAGACAAGTCTGACTTACCAGCTTCTTAAAATTATGGATACACATTTTGACTGTAACTGACTGTGGCTATGTAATAACACAAAAAAAAATACAGTTGTGTTAGTTTGTGTGTAGGAAGAGATGTTGCAATATTTGATCATCAGAGCTAGGGGTGAGCATGTATACATGTTGAATAAAAGTGGGCCACTTTGTTTTCTCAGATTCAAAACAGTCTTGGTTTATCAAGTAGAATCAGAACAAATTTAAGAGAATAATCAACAACCTCATCCCCTTTTCCAGTCTATCAGATCGTCATGGCCGACTGTATTTCTGAACTCCAGAAATACCAACACAGAAGTTTTAGATGCTGTCGCCTGCTTTAGCTGACCCATTGTAGCTCTATAAGCAGCAGTGTCTACTTTTCAAACAATACATAATGCAGAGTAAAGAAAACGGCACACAAACAATCCAAGGAAAATATGTTTATTTTATCTATATAGACATGATGCAATATGCATCTTGAAGGGGATAACTTTGAGACAAAAAGAAATGCTTTGGTACATCAGAGTTTCCAAGTAGCAAAAGCAGCAAGAAAACGCAATGGCTCTTGCACACATTTGAGGAAAACATTTTTATTTTTTTAAGCTTTGTGTCCAGTTGCATCAGCCAATCAGTCATAATTATGTATTTTCAATGGACAAAGCATACAATTTATATGTCATTATTGCACACCGAAAAGGTGCAGTAAAGATTCTAGATAGTCTATCCTGGAGAAACACATTTCAGTAGATTCTGTGATGATGTTCAGGTGATGCACAGTGAAAAATTGTCAGAAAAAGGCAAATGTGAATTATTAACAGTTTCAATTCTAAAACACAAACACAGTTTTAACATTGCAGGCTACAACCAGATGTCCTGTCGAGCAAACCTGCTACTGAAATCAGCAAAATGGAGATAACTGTCAGGTATTTTAGAATAAAAGTAACATGACAAAACGACGTCTTCCCAGATCTCGCTGATGATTTTTAAAAAAAATCTGAGTATTTGATATAGTCCTACTCTGTCCTGTCATTATTTTTAGCGGGCAGAAAACTAGATGCTCTGTGTCAAAGTTAATATCAAAAAGTTAAAAGCTAAAAACATTTCCTCTTAAATAAGAGCAAATTCTACATTAAAGGTGATACGACATAAAGTGCAAAGAGAGGTTTCAATAAATGCACTGGGGCTGGACTAAGTAGTCACAGAGGCAGGACACACATACTCTAAAAACTTTTTCTTTCTCAACTCTTTTTCTCTTTATTTTTAAAATATTTGACTTGTTTTTTTTTTAGGCTGGATCTTTGTTTGAACGAGCCAAGGCCTTGTTTATCATGTAACTGAAGGAGTTTATGTCCCGTATTGTCTCTATTATGATCTGCACAAATGGAGTCTGAGAGCATTTTGAATAAGGAATCACAATCACACGTGAACGATTTAGAGATTTGAAGTCATTTTTCAGCTAATTGCCCACTTTGTTACTTGAATTCGTGAGAAGTGAGTCACTTCTTGTGCCTTCTTCGAATTCCTCGTCTTCTCGGAATCAACAGAAAAGTAGTAAACATTGAACAGGTTCTATTTAAAAATACTGCTTTAACTGAGATCAGTGCGAACTATAGCAACAACATTTGTAACATCAACAATATCAGTAGAGTAAAAAACAAATTACAAGAGAAAAACAATTATAACAATAAAATATATCTCTTTTTAATAGAAATCAAACCATGGTATCTCTAATACGAATATATTGGACAATGTAAACCTACCCTTATCAAAGTTAGCAAAATATAATAACACAGTAAGCACATCAATCGTATTCCTCTCACAGAGAGCGCTCACATCATTGTTTCTACAATGGTGTGGGTGGGCTTGATCAAACCATTGTTCCCGTTCGGGTCCAGAGGCTGTGTCAGCTCGCTGCTCTTCAAATTGTACTCTTTCGGGCGAGAGCTCACGCCTGACTTTGCTGGAGCCGCCACTGCCTTGATCCTCTGGGGAGGGGGAAAGGAAACGGGACATTAGGCTAATGATCGTCAGAAACAAGGGCTCCTTCAAGGCTCAATGAGACAGTTACTGAGTTTGAGACGTCAAACGTTTTTTGGAAATTAAAGACTTGTTAATTCAACACTGATCAAGACATTTTAATTTACCCAGACAACGATGGATACGTCTAAGAAGGTCTGTTTGAGATGAGAATCTAACAACAGAATGTGACTTTGGGTCTATCTTGCCTATTTATATTTGACTGATTCTCTTCCAAAAACCAAAGAGCCAGAGATGCAAAACATGTTGGTTAAAACACTTTAAAATTATATGCGTAACTATGATTGATTTGCTACCGAAGCCAATCAGTCTTGAATGTAAACATATTGTAATTTTTGATAAGAAGTTTATATAGAAAGTTGCAAAAAAGAAAACACAATCATTTGTTCAATTACAACCTGATATGTGACTCTCTGTCTAGCTTTTAGCTTTGTTAGAACTTTTTTCTGTCTTGTTTCAAACTCTTTGGGTTAATTTCTCTGATTATTAGTCATTTTCCCCCAACTTCCTTTGATCAGGTCATGCACCCAACTGCAGTACATGCTACTAATTAGTTGAACCTGATTCTCTTGTCACTCAATCACCTTCCCAGCAGTTAAAAGCCAGTCGGTTTTGGTGCCTCTCTTTGCAAGACCCTTCCATTTCCCCTCAATGCTTTTTTTTTTTTTTAACTTTGTTGTCCATGATTCCTTGTTGCCTGACTTTTATTCCCTGTTGCCTGACTACATTTTTAAGCCAATATTAGACTGCCATTTTCTTGTTTCTTGTCTTGGATTCTATTCCACCGCATTTTATACCCAGATTCTGAAATGAGCTTTCCTTCCACTAAGCTTTCTATTAGTTTTCCATTGAGTTGAGGAAACTTTTGGATTTTGGAATCTGTTCAAAACCACTGCAGATGACATGTTGCTGTTCTTTGCAGATACTGTATAGCAGTTGTTTGGAAATTATTCAAGCAGACTGATGAGTGACAGCTAATCTGACAGACTCTTGCATCCAGCGTCCTGTAATATCTCCCACAAAAAAGCAAATGGTTAATATCTGTTAATATAGAGTTGCATCCTATGGATGTTAATTTATCACTGTGAACAGTAATTAACAGTTTCAAATTACTGAAATCAGCTAAAGTGTGGAGAGTCCATCCGATTAGCTGTTAGCATTCTACCACCCTGGAGAATTTTCCACTTTCTACTTCTAGGTGACATCTTTCTACCTAAATTAAGAAAAATTTCAGTGCTCATAACTTCACAAAGTAT